GACGCCCTCCCCCAGGGTGCGCGCAAGGACGTCCCTTGCAGGACGCGCCCTCCACAGCATACCCCCCAGTCATCCCTTCCCCTGGGAGAGCGTCCCCCGAAGAGGATGCTCCTACCTCATAATTCTGGCTCGGAGATTTCTCTACGAGAGAACATCCCTCGGAGAATGCCCCCTGGAGGTTGTCTAAAGAGAGTACCTGCCCGGAACAGCCCCGGGTCACCCCCCAACTGCGAGCGTCCCCCCCAAGGTCCTCCCTCCGAGAACGCCCCAACCTGAGGATGCCCACTCCCAGAGTGTCGCCCCCAGAATGCCCCCTGGACGGCGCCCCTGGACACCGACCCCATGAGACTGTCCTTGGAGGATGCCCCATGGAGGGTACTGTCTGGAAGTTGTCCTCTCAGATAAATATACCCGGAAGGTGACCCCCCAGGATGACCTCTGGTGTCAGCTGGGCTGCTGTCTCATCAGAGGGTTGTTTGAGGACCCATCTGCCTCCCAGCTCCCCAGTTCTTCCCAGGGTGTTGGCAGAATTTACTTTCTTGGAGCAGCAGGGCGGAGACCCCTGGGTCCCCCCCATAGAACAGTCACATGGGCAGTTTGCTTCTTTAGGGCCAGCAGGAGAGTGTCCCCAGCATGCTGAGAGTCATCGTGGGTCTCACCTCTCATCTTGGTTCAATTCTGTTGATTTTAAGAACAGCTTGGGAGCCACCCGCACTGAGGCACCGGGAGGCGGAAATGACTGGGGGTTCCCTCGGGGCTGTTCAGCACGGGCCCACTCCAGTCAGCAGACCCCTCAGGGGCCTCTCTGGGGGCTGGGAGGCGGTGGTGCTGGCAGCCCCTTCCAGTGTATCCGTGGGCAGATTTCACATGCCGAAGAACACCTGCAGCTGCAGACTCCCGGGTGGCTACAGGTCCCTTACTTAACCTCCTCCACCTCTGACGTTTGCGGGGTGACCCAGGAGCTCCAGCAAAGTCGTGACACCCCTCGAAATGAAAAGTGGGAGTGGCCACCCCAGGTAAAATTTGTCTCTTCCAGCTATCGTACCACTTATTTCAAAATGATTAGCTGAAACCCAAGTCCAGCTTTTAAATTTGGCCATGAAGAGAGGTCTGGGAGGGCACTGGGGGAGAAGGCCACAGCCTAGCCCCACAGGGGGCGCTGACCTCTGATGGCCCTGCAAGCTAGCTAATAGGCTTCAGGCTGCCTTTTTCCTGGGGATGGTGACACTCCTGTACTTTGCAGCCAGTGACAGCTGAGAGCTGGACAGAGGCTTCCGGTCTTGGCCGTGAGTGTGCTGTGAGGGTTTCCTTGGTGCTGGTGCCAACAGTATGCTGGCATGTCGACACTCATTAACTCTCCGGGCACAGTCTCACCTGGCTGGCACCTGTGTGCACGCTGTCCCACTTTCTAAAAGGACAGTGGTGACTGTCCTTTTGTCCCCAAAAGCACGGAGCTCTGGGCATTCCTACAAGTCTCCTGTCACCAATGGCCAGGGTAGATCCCCCAGGAGCACCTGCTGGCACCTGGCAGGGACGACCTTCTGTGGCCTGCAGCCCCAGGCCCGACCTTCTCATCGGCTGGTTTGCATCTGCCGTGGAGACCCTGGCTATGACGTCCAGGTAGATGGGGGCCTCTGATGGGGGTGCTGATGGATGCTGAGGTGGTCTGTTGATCAGGGTTCAGATGGTCTGGGAGCACTTGGGTTGCAGGCTCCGCCCCTTCGTCACCCCAGAAACGGAAGTTTAGCCAGCTTGCTGTGCAGGAGGACACCCTGGCTTCACCATCCCAGGGCTGTGTTCCAGCCAGCAGCCTGCCCGCTGCTGCCTCCTGCCAAGGCCAGGGCTGTGGGCTACCTTCCCTGAGGTGTCCTTGAGACACGGCCCAGTCTCCGCTTTACAAATAAGTCACGCCGATCACGCCTTTGGTCCCCTTGGTGAACAGTTTGCACAGAGCTCATTTCAGGGGGTGTTAACCTGGGGACCCCGGAGTCTGCTGTGGGAACAGCCAGGGCTCTGGGACGCCCACTGTGGGCTCAGCATTCCAAGTGGTTTGCTGTCCAGGCGGGCCAAGGGGGCCGAGCACACAGTGCCAAGGCCATCCCCACAGCCCCTCGCATGTGCTACCACACGTGCTTGGCCATGTGACAGGGCCTTCGGGGGCCTGGCTGAGGCAGCCTGGGTTAGACCGGCCTGGACACTTTCAGGCAAAAATAGTTGCAGTCATGTTATTTGGCCAAAGTTTGCCCATTTCCCCTCAACCAGCCATGTGGGGGCCCGCCGCTCTGTGCTGCTGCTCAATACTTGGGAGCCCACTCTGGTTCCAGGTCCCCCGCTGGGCCTGGGTGGGGCCAGAGCAGGGAGCCTACCTGGTCACCTGGTTTCCGCCAGCCAGTGGTGCAGGGAAGGAGCTCAGGCCTGTGCCCTTAGCACAGAGAGCCCGTGCACAGGTTCCCCGTCTTGGGCATGAGGACCGCGTGTCTCGCCCTGCAGTGGCAGGCGTTCGGGCCCGTGTCCCCTCCCCACACTTCACCCGTCTTAGCTGTTCTCCTGTTCACGTGGTTTCCGTTGGCGCCTTCCATGTTATGTGGTGAGCATACAGACCACACGTCTCATATCGGACCCCCAGGCTGGCAGAGGTCACATGCCACGGGCGCCCATGAACTTGACCTGCACAGACCCGGAACTGGACCCACCTGAAGGGAAGCCGGGCCCCTGGGAGGCCGTGGGCGTCTGTGTCCACGCAGGGCAGCGCTGCTCCGGGGACCTTGCCCCTGCTGAGGACTATAGGCCAAGGGCTCGGGAGTGGGCCGAGGGGACGCCTGGGCCTGGGGGGGGCCTCTGCTCACCTGCCTCGATGGGCTTGCCCTGCCCGCCCGCCCTTCTCCGCGGAGAGCAGAACGGTCACCACGTTTGACTGACCAGGCTTTCCCAGCATCAGGTACTGGAAGACGCTGTTTCAGACGGGGTTTGCCAGCCGGCCTCGCTCTGCTCCTCCCGCCTGAGGAGTGCCACACCAGCCCTTTGCGTCCCTGCTGGTTCTGGGGGACTCTCCAAGGGTCAGGCTTCCGTCTCATGCATCACAACTTGTGACAGGACCTGGCAGAGTGGATACTGGCCAGGAAAGGGAGGCCAGGGAGGCGGCGCGACCTCCCTGTCAGTTCTAGAACTTTCTACATCAGGCAGACCTCCACTCTGTTCTCTTGAAAAGTTGTTCCCAGCTCTGCAGCAAGGACAGGTGACAGAACCCATCTAGTATGTCTCAGCAATCGGCTGCTTGCTTGGCTGGCAGCCGATGTCACGGGCCTTCATCTCAGGAGACACACCAGGGGCAGGGGCGTGCGGGGGAGGGGCGGCCTTGGACTCCAACCTGGCTCTGTCTGGGTTCCTGCTGTGAGGCAGGGGTTCCACTGGAAACACACCCCACAGGGCCCCAAAGCCACAGGGGGCAAGCCTCTGCTGCAGGTCCCAGCGCAGGGCTGATGGGCTGAGACCAGCTGCCCTCAGGGTCAGCAGAACAGAAGCAGGCACCAGATGCTCTATGCCGGCACTGTTGTCCCTGCTGGAAAAGGGTGTGCCATGGCGTCTTCAAGGCCCCGAGGCGACTGGTTTGGTGCGGGTCTCCGACTATGCGCTGGGTGGCCTCTTAGCACAGGGCCTGGCCTCACCTCGGGAGCCTCCTGCTCCTGGGTGGGCGGGAGCTCAGTGTCCTCGGGGTCTGTCACATGGAGACCAGGAGGGAGACCACCCCAGCCGCCACATGCGGAGGGGCCAGCCTCGCCGCGTGCAGTGACCATTCGCACCTGCTCGCTTGTGCCTACACCTTACCCTGCGAGTCCCGCACTTCTAAGCACACATTTCATTACAAACCTTGGGAAAGGGAAGACTTCCTGCCCCGGGAAGTACCCGAGCGCACACTCCAGGTGGCTTTCCTGCACTTTAATGCTCGCGGTCGAGGCCGGGCGCCAGCGCAGTGTGCCTTCCCCTGCACCGTCGGTCTGCGTGCAAGCTACTCCATGATCTAGAAATACCCACTACAGACTCTGCATCTGGCACTTAAAACTGAGCAAAAGGATCTCCGTGGTCAGTACCACAAAACAAAACATCTCAGAAAAAAATACAACACAGCTTTTTAAATTCTGTAGTACGTTTTTCATATAAAACACTAGTAAAATAGGCTCTTAAAAATTAAATAGTGAAATATCAACCCATTTATGTACATCGTTACAGTACAGGTGAATGAGGCAGAATACCCAGTTCAGTCCCTCAGGAGGTGACGGAAAGGCCGCCCATGGGGCTCGGTGGCCGGACTTTCGCCTGAGGTTGCAGCCAGGTGGGCAAGAGCAGAGGCCAGACGGACCACGGGGAAGACCAGTGCCCCGGAGGACGGAGGGAGAACGTGGTTTATTGCGGCCACTCCAGTCTTTCGCGTGCAGCCTGGACCCCGCCCGCAGGCTGCAGCCGGGTGTGGCCCAGGGAGCCGGCCCGCCCCGGTCACGGGGTCACGGGGCCACGGCATACTCTGAACGCCCGGGCGGGGCGGTGCTGTCTCTGGGGTCCACCGAGCCCCGGATGGTGAGCGGACACCGCGAAGACCCCGGGACCCCAGCGTAGGCAGCAGGGGCCACAGCAGCTGG